CGTTCATACTTTGCGGCAGCGTCCACTAGCATTTCGAGTGCCCGGCAGCGCCAGCGAGTGTTAAAGCATAGATATCGATCTAGCGTCTGCCAGCGTTTACCAGCGTCCGCCAGCGTCTCGAGGGCCTGGGAAGTATAGGTATCGATCTAGCGTTTGCCAGCGTGCACCAGCGTCTCCCAGCGTCCGGAATAGGAGAGCGTGGCGCGATAGAATGCTAACAGTCAGCTGGTACCCTCCTTTCGCGCCAAACGTCTCCTCTCCCAAGCGCTAAGTGATGCGGGTGCACGCCAGTAGACGCTGGCAGACGCTAGATTGATATCTACACTGTCCCAGTCGCTGACGCTACCGCTAAGTGTGAATGCAGCCTTACTTGGACATGGTCACTACTGGAAGAAAATGTCATCGCAGGCGCGCTCATTCCATGCCTCCCCACACCAGACTGCGATGATTACAACTGTTTGAGCGTCAGTTTTACCTTGAGAAGTTTTTGGTGACCTCGCTGAAGTGGAACGTTACGGCATTTCTCTCCATCCATAGACAGGTCATCTAAACTAGTGGTCCTGTGTTTAGTGCTTCATGGAAAGTTGAGTTCACAGTTTTCATTGCTGCGGAGGCTGGGGCGTCAGGTGGGCTGGGTTTGGAGCGACGCCTGTCCTCTTTTCACCAAATGTTGCCATTTGTTCCCCGACCCCATTCAATAACTGGTAGAGGACAGGCTACATCGCGCCAAACTGGCTCCTGACACGTCCCACCATCTGCGGCGAGCAATACTATACTACTAACTCTGTAATTTACGATCGTATCGCATCAAGCCAAATAAAATTTATAAAGTTCTTCAAAACTGTCAAAAAAACGCAATTGTAACAACTTTACAAACTTATTAACAACAAATTTCTTACCACACTTGCATGACTTGCACAAGTCTGGATCGCACTCCCATCTCGCAAAGTAGCACTGGCACTGCTTTGTTCGACAGTTGCCTGAACATTCATTCTAAACATTCGGAACGCAGCAGTCTTCACTTCATTTCAAAACATAAGTTTCAAAATGACAAGGCCAGGCTCCTTCACAGCTGCTCCCTGAGCATATCAATAGTCGTGTTCAACTACATTACCAAATAACCTGCACGCTCCCTAACATGAATAACATAACAGGAGTTCTCTACCTGGTGCACATCGACATCCTGGGAACCGCATTCGGCAATCTGGAGGGCAACCACAGAATTTGCTGCAGATTCCGCTAGCTGACGAACAAACACACTGAGAGTTTCCATCACAGTGACCAGGATGGGAGCAAGGAACCATGCGTTCTTTATTCTCCACCTAAAAAGGCTACCGATAGAACTCAGCAATAACATTCATGTAAAAGCGACTATTTCGCCCAGATAAAGTGCTTTATTCACCTGTCCCTTCCCATCAGCCCACGTGAACGATCGGAACGACCGATGCTTGTCTTTGACGGAACTTGAAAAGCAAAAAATTACACCAGCCAGCCACATTGCTTTAGAATAAATTGTAACTTACACTTTCTTATGCTCAGGCGTGAGACTAGGATTTGCTTGAGCAAGTTGTGAAGCCAAACGATGAATCTGAAACATCAATGGTGAGAATCAACATTAGACGTTAAGTAACCGGAATGGGACGAGCGAATTAAAGACAGCCCGCCGCCGTGCGAGTAGTTAGCAGTGGTCGTCGGCATTCCTTGTGCAAGTAGTACAGCCCCGGCATCTAGAGACTGTCCCTCTCATTCGTCGTCTGCACAGCGAGCGAGAAGCGAGCTACAGCCGCTGTAAGTTCTAGTTCTAACGCCTGCTCAGTTGGACCGCCTTACTTGCTAGATGTCCTCCGACGGAGGCCACTCAGTTGTTCTTAGTTGGGGCGGCGGGCATTGCTAATGCCCATGGATAATTCTGCTCCCCTTTATTACAGTTTACTCATTGGAGGTATATACATTCAATTCAACTCATTTCGCGAGGTGAAACGCGTAAAAAGCACGAGTGACGCAATTTTCGTGATGCAAAACCTCGACGCACAAAACGTGCGCTACCGTAATCCCAAATTCAGACACCGCGTTGATAAAATTCCTTTTCCTTTTTTTAGAGAAGAGCTTTTCCTCTGCGTTTTTGTTGTTTTCTTTTTGTATTTTTTTTGCACTGGATGATATCAACTACTGCGAGATGTGATAGAGAGATTTGTGAGCTAGGGGTTGCACAGAGACCGCAGGGAGGTGTGACTGTGAGGGAGCGATTTTGTTTATGTTGTTCTGGAGGACGCTTCTTGCCTGTTTTCTTCTTTGGGAGATTACTTATCAGCTACTGTTTCATAATTGGAAAGCAGCTATCCATGAGACTTTTATCGCGGGAGCTGTCTTTAAGGGCAATTCAGACGGTCACTCTTGGTGGTTAACAGGTACGGTCTAAAACAATCCAGTGTGGACAATGATAGTACAAACTAAAATCAACTTGATCGATGAAATAAGAATGATTATGTGATCACTGCCTTGACAGTACAGTCATGATTGCAAAGGATAGGGCATTTGAAGCGGCGCGGATTGGAGGGAGCCAGAGCGACCTTTCCCCCACCTATCCAGCACTTGATCGCGGGGATTGTCTTTAACACGAACTAACTGATATGGACTTGTTGTAAATGGCCAAGTCCAAGTTAATGGCATAAAGGCCATGAGAAGGGAAAGGGCACTGCAAGTACCCCCTAGTGCAAAACTGAGATTGTCGTAAACGAGATCTTTAAAGACCCCTGCCTGAGCCTACAAATGAAGGAGCTTTGTATGGGTGGATCAGTGTCTTTCTGCAGGAGGTAGATTCCGCATTACGTTACCTCAGTTTTGCAGTCGCCCAAATTCCCTATCTTCTCAACCAGTTTACTCAGCCGCCCGATAAACATGGAGAACAGGTAAACAGTAAACAACGGTGCAGTTCGACGACGGGGCATTTTGCATTTTGCTACTTCCCATCGACGTGTCGACCCATCTAGAGAGCCATTTCGTGAGCTTACAAGAGTTGACAGGTTTTACCATGGTGGCTCGACGAGCTTGCTCCAGCTTCACAAGAGTTCACAGGTTTCACCAGAGTGAGACTTGTAAACCAGAACTAGTGAAGCAAGCGAAAGTGCAAAATGCCCCCCCCCCCCCCCAACCCCCTCCCGTCGCCTAACTGCGCTCAAACCAACAACAGAATAAAAAAACCATCACCTCGCTGCATGTTTTTGGGGGCTCTCCAATATCCTCACATATCATGCTCATCTGTGCTGTGATCAAACATGTGGATGTCTGTTCACCAGCCAATAACGCTGTGAGAATGTTCATCAACGTCGGGTTAGAGAATGCTGGAGTTTTTCCATTTGAGATATGCCCATTCAAAATGTTGGATGATGCACCGTCAGGACCACCATTTGATTGGCGATGTCGACTTCGAGGTGATGACGGACTTCGACAGTTTGGGGTCTGCTTCTTATCGGATGAGCTGCTTGGTACCTAAATAAATTAGCAGCAATAAGTAAAACGCTTAATTCCAATACAATTTGCACCGCCTTTCTGCGAGTACTTTTACATCGGTGATCAAAACCTTCGTCTTTTTTTACTTTCCCAAGAAATATGTATTGAAATCCGTGTCCAAAGATGTGTTCTCATAACTTTGGTACACGAAATAGATGCCAATTAGACCATATGAAAGAGCGCAATGAGAAAAATGCATGACACACCATGTGTGTCACGCG